CGGGACCCGATGGTTTGAATTTGAAAGGGTCCCGGGGCCTCGGCTGGCACCTTCCCTGAGGTAATGGGGTGCGGTGGGAGAGGGGCTGGAGGGTCCTGGCCGCCATCCCGCCCCCGGTTCCCTGCCAGCGGGCCGGGCACAGGAGGGCCCTGGGGCTCCAGGCAGCCTTCGTGTGAAGGAAGGTCCCTGCTGCAGGTCGCCATCATGGCCTGCCCTCCTTCTGGAAGGTTTCCCTGGCCCAGGTTCCCGTCTGCAGGAAACCGCGCCCCAGCATTTGGTGATGGCTGGAATGGTGGCCCAGAGGCGGGCAGCGGGCCCACCATACACAGTGGTCACTCTGAAAGGATTGCCAAGAGAAGGCCGTGTCTGCAGGAAGTTGATTCTCTCTCGGCTTCTACCTTCTGTTGTTCAAAATTTCTTTCCAGACCTCTCCGTTCTTCCTGTCCACAGTCCTGTGGATTATTCCTGAAGCAGTAGATGAGGAAACAGGCTCAGAGTCATTAAGCCTTAACTTGCAAATGGCAGAACAGGACCTCAAAACCGGGCATTTTGAATGCTAATTAAAGCAGGGAGATGAGGTCCTAGGTGTCGCTGTTGATTCCAGTGGGCAGGGACAGGTCTTCTGCACGGGTTTTCCTGTTACTTCTTCTCCTAGGATGGAGTCTGCCACAGGGCAAGCCCTAGGAATTTATTAATTGAATGGATTAATGAACACATATTTAGGTCTCAAAGAAGTTTCTCTTCCTATTGCACCGCCCCCCCCACCCCCATTGAAGTAGTAACACCTCCTAATGCAGTGATACTCTCTCTGATTATTCTCCTTTACTCTCGGCCAGAGCTTGTGTCTTCCTGAGTCAAACTCAAGTCGTAGGCAGAACCCGTGCAAAACAAGAGCTGCTCTCTCCTACACTACCCTAAATGCATCATTCCAGCAATGGCTCTGGGCACGCAGCCTCATAGCTGCCTTTGCCATTATTGTTCTAAGTCTTTGGATAGTCCATCCAGCTCCTCCATCCCTTATTCCCAATTCTTTTTTCTTTTCTTCCTCCCTCCCTCCCTCCCTCCCTTCCTTCCTTCCTTCCTTCCAACTGAGCTACATCCCCAGCCTCCTTATTCTCAATTCTGAAATCCAAAAAATTTTGAAAACAGATTCCCCCTTCTGATTCACTTGAAGTAAAATCTGAACTGAAGTGAGACCATTTATAGTCCTTATTCCAAGTATTTAGCATGTTTTTGTTGCAGATATGTTGATTCATTTCACTCTTGAGACCAGCCCCACACCTTACTGTGGGTATCATGTAACATATGGTATAGGCACTGAACTCTACTGTTAAAAAGAAATTGAATTCCACTAATTTAATGTCACCTGTCAAATAATTTCCTGTTATGATTTAGGTAAAGTGGGGAAAAGGAAACAGCACTGTGTAAGTGGACAGATCTAAAAAGAAAACCAAGAGACCTTTTCTACCATATTATTTGTTTGCTTTAGAATTATTTAGGAGAGAAAACTCCTTAACCAAACAGTAAGACTTTTGAGGATAGGGATCATGTTTTATGTTATTCCACAAAGCTGGATAAATGATAGGTTCTCGAGAAATATTTATTGATTTGAAAATACTTGCCTCAAAGTTTAGAATTTTACTTGACAATTGCAAGAGATAGATTTTATTTTTAATATATCATGTTTAAAATTTAAAGCTATTGCATGTTTATCCAAAAGCAGAATCATTCAGTCATTTGTTCATTCAGTCATCACACATTTCTTGAGTACCTTCTGTTGCTAGGTGTCTGGTAGATCTAGGATTAAAGGAGTAAATAAGTAGGTCAAGGTCCCTGCTCTCAAGGAGCTTCTAGTCTGGTAGTGAAGAAAGGCAACTAACAGCAATAACAAATAGGTTAGTACAAATCATTCTAACTGGWATGAAGGAAATTAACCTGCTGCTGTAGAGAATGTGATAGGGTGACCTAAGTAAGTGAGGTCAGTGAAGGTTTCTCCGAGAAGATGACACAAATTTGTGACATGAAATTCCTTCTTCCCACTATTTCTCAACATTATAATGATGTGAATAGCCAGACAACTGAGAATCAAATATGGAAATTTGCCTTCTTGCCACTAATTCTAATTCAGATGTCATAACTTTACAATCATGTGATGCTTAATGATATGGATACTTTCTGGGAAATAACACCATTAAGAGATTTTTGTCATTGCATAGATACCATAGAATCTAAGTGGTTATAATGTCACTAGGCAAGTTAATCTTGTGGGACCATGGTTATATATGCAGTTCATCATTAACTGAAACATTATACAGCCTATGAGTAATTATAATCTCAAGGTTATTTGATGATGTAAATAGCATTTGTCTAGTCACGTGTCTAAAACATAATAAACTGACATAATTTACAACTAATACCAATTGATTGAAATTCATATTAGTCTGAAAAAACACTAGTAGTTTGATGGTATCTTCCATATTTTATGTTAATGTCACTGCACATAAGTAAGTGATATTAATTAATTAATTTTTTTTTGAGAGAGAGAATTTTTTAATATTTATTTTTTAGTTTTCGGTGGACACAACATCTTTGTTTGTATGTGGTGCTGAGGATCGAACCTGGGTCACACGCATGCTAGGCGAGTGCGCTACTGCTTGAGCCACATCCCAGCCCCGATATTAATTTACCTATCCAGACTTTTTCTTTGTTGTTTTTCTAATAATTGGGAGAATATTTTATTATGGTATGTTGTCACATATGTCTGTTTTAAACTTCTATTTTGGATTCTGAGCCTATTATTTTGCTATTTTTCTGAGGCAGAAAATTTATTTAAAAAAGTACTTCAAAGAACTTAATACAGATTAGAGAATATAAGCAAACCTAAAAATTAAGATTGTTCCAAAATGAAGATAGGTAGCTATAAAAAAATATTTTACAGCTGTTGTTCAATTCCAGCATTCTAACAGTGTCTTTTTAATAGACTTGTAAAGAAACAGATCAATATTTGTTTCTCTAAGCCAATGTCATAGTGAATCTCTGCATTGAGTGAGTTTGATAGAGGGTAAAAAGGAACAGTAGAAATTGAAAATTTTAATAGCTTATTTTTATTTGTTTATTTTTGGTACTTGGGATTGAACCCAGGGGCACTTTATCATTGAGTTACATCCCCAGTCCTTTTTATTTTGGGACACGTTCTCAGTAAATTGCCAGTGCTGGCCTTGAACTTGTGGTCCTCCTGCCTCAGCCTCCCATGTTGCTGATATTTTAGGTATATGCTACTGTGTCCTGCTTTAATAGCTTATTGAAGCATTATAAATCAGTTTTTACTGCATGTGGGAGTCCGATAAAGAGGCCTATATTTGAAGTGCAAATGAGAAAATCATGAAGTTATAGAAATGCTTTTGTGTTTTTCTTCCTAGGGTCGATGGTAGTTTTTCTGAGAAGTCCTAAGTAAACCAATAACCTTTTCTGTCTTGCTTACTTGAGGTTATGTTGCATTTTTACATCTTTATGTCTTTAAAAAAGAAATGATAGTTCATTTAGGATGCTTCTGAAAATTTATGCCTGCCTTCAATACACAGAAATTAATTAGGCCTCAGCTAGTAACTGCAAAAGTAAAGGGAGGGAAATAAAACTAAAAATAACAATTGTTATGCATTTTAGCATTTTTTTTCTTTTGTATGTTGGCAGTTTCTTGAATAAAATAGGATTATAGATTTGTCTAGACTGCCGTGGGTTTGTTCACTCATCAGGACATGAAATCAGTTTGGCACACTATCTTGGAAGCCATAAGTGGTAAATCACTGGAGAAATTGCAAACTGACTGACTCACCTTAATGCAGAGTAATGGAAGAGGAAAGGGAATGATTTCATGTAAATTGTGAATTGATAATTCACGAGAATCATGTAAAGTTTTGGGGCTACATACACCATTTTAAGTTTTTGTTTTGTTTTGAGTCAGGATCTTGCTATGTTGCCCAGGTTGGGCTCAAACTCATAATCCTCCTGCCCCAGCCTCCCAAGTAGCTGGGACCCTTTTAAGTTTTAATGTGTTTTTTGCATCAACCTACATGAGTTTCTCTTTGTATGCATTTATTTGCGATCTGTTAGATACATGCTGATTACTCCAGGCTTTAAGAAAATCTTTATATTATTTTAATCTCACTGTTGACACTGTTTAATTCTAAACCCATACTTTTTTCTAAAGGTGAGTAAAGATCAACTTAACCTTTTACTCTAATTTACTAGCTTATCTGGACAAAAACATTGGTTTTAGGGTACTGTGAATTGGCTGTGTAGTCCACAGAGGTACAAGTATTTGTCTTAGTAGTTGATTCTCCTTTCTTTTAGATTAACAAGAAAATGGGCCATATTTAGATCAGATTGTGATGACTTATAGTTCTGAAAAGGACATARTTATAGCACCACTAGGAGATTCTTAGTTTTCACCACCATTTTAATTGCTTTCAGGACATAATATTTTTATACATGGCAACATATGTTAAGCAAGAGATGTCAGAGAGCAAATTCCATTTCTTACACTAATTTGTCTACTACTCATGTAATGCTTTATAATAATTATATTTCTGGCTAAAGAGGTTCAATGATATTTTCCACAAGAACTTTTAGGAGTAGAAAGACCACCTTTATTTCTTTAAATAATATAGGCCAATCTCTTATGAAGGATATTCCTGTACCTATCTTGGGAACATTAATGTGGTATACCCTCCATTGTGATTGATGTAAAGTGAGCAGACTGATTTAGAAACAACCTAGATTTTTCAGATTGGCCTGGTCTTCCGTAGAATATTTTAAAGAATATTTAACTTACTTATTTTTTGTGCTTTTCTTGTAGGAAATTGATACTTTATCAACATGGAGATTAATCATTTGTATTTGGGAGCAACAGAACTACTTGTCAAGAGTTTTATAAACCAGTAACACAAATTCCTGTTCCATTGCTCTCACCCCCCCTTTTCACCTTCAAACTTGTCCTACCTATGGCATTCAGGAGGCAAATGAAAAACTTCATGAAAAATTACTCAGATGCTGAAATAAAAGTCAGGGAAGCAACTTCTAATGACCCTTGGGGTCCCTCTAGTTCTCTGATGTTGGATATCAGTGATTTGACTTTCAACACAATTTCTCTCTCGGAGATTATGAATATGCTATGGCAGAGACTCAGTGACCATGGGAAGAACTGGCGTCATGTGTATAAATCCCTTACCCTAATGGATTATCTCATCAAGAATGGATCAAAGAAAGTTATYCATCATTGCAGAGAGGGGTTCTGTAATCTTCATATGCTAAAAGACTTTCAACACATAGATGAAGCTGGAAAAGATCAAGGTAACAGTTAAAGAAGTTATACAGTGTTACAGTAAAGATAGGAGTTTGGGAGGGATCATTTTAAAACAGGAACTGGGAAAAAGTTCTTTTTTGTTTTAATTAATTTTTTTTTTTTTTTTTGTGGTATTGGGGATTGTACCCAGAGTTGCTTTACCATTGAACTCTATTCCCAGCCCTTTTTGAGACACGATCTTGTTAAATTATCCAGGCTGGCTTTGAACTTGCAATTCTTTTGCCTTAGCCTCCTGAGAAGCTGGAATTGTAGGCATTTGCTATGTGCCTGACATTCATTCATTCATTCATTCATTTATTATTTGTTTGTTTGTTTCAATACTGTGGATTGACTGCAGGGGCACTCTACCACTGAGCTCCATCATCTCTATCCCTTTTTATTTTGAGAAAGGTCTCATTAAATTGCCCTGGCTGACCTTGAACTTGCATTCTTTCTGCCTCAGCCTCCCAAGTCCCTGGGGTTACAGGTGAGTGCCACTGCACCTTGCGGAAAAGTTGTTCTTAAATGTACCATCTACTTTTTCTCTAGTTAATGGTTCTAGTTTAACTCTTAAAGTGCCTTAGAGAATAATAAATTATTTTCAAAAAGATGTGTAAAATTGATACACTTAGGTTTCTGATAAAATGCTACCTCACAGAAAATGAATAAAACAGGAGGCATGGCAATTTGGTATTAATGATGTCACTGTAATTCATAATTATAATTAGATGCAATTTAGTCATAAATTAAAAATGTTTCCAAAGATGCTGGAATCTACAAAATCCATCTAGATGGAGGTATTTATATGAATATAGAAATTTAGGTCATAAAATAATTCTTTTGGGGGTGGAAGAGGAGGTGAAATAGGGAAGGATGTACAGAATATTCAGATGATTCAGTAGTGTCTGATATTGTACTATGGCAGAAGAATCAGCATTTCCTCTCCATTTAATGTAAAATTATAATTTRTGTTTAAAATGAATAATCTTATGAATCATGAGAAGATAAAATGTAGTGCAGTCTGTGTTAAGTGTGCATTTAAAAATAGATCTTTTTTTAAAGGGCAGTTTGAAAAATTATGTTCTGGAAAAATTATGCAGAAAGTACAGTTTCTACATACCCCTCCCTCCCACCTATGATTTCTCTTACTAGTAACATCTTGCAATAGTGTGTTACATTTGTTACAGTTGATAAGCCAGTATTGASGTTATTAACTAAAGTTCATATTTAAAAAATATTTTTAGTTGTAGATGGATACAATACCTTTATTTTATTTTTATATTTGTATATTGTGCTGAGGATCGAACCCAGTGGTTCACACATGCTAGGCAAGCCCTCTACAACTGAGGGAGCAACAACTCCAGCCCCTAAAGTTCATATTTTATGTGAGAGTTCACTCTCTTTATTATACAGTTCTACACGCTTTGAAAAATGCCTGATGTCCTGTGTCCCACCATTCAGTATCATACAGAATAGTTTTACTGACCTAAAAATGCCCTGTGATTCACTCATTCATGACCTCCTGAGCCCCAGGAAACCACTGGTCTTTATTCTTTTGCCTTTTCCAGAACCATAAAGTTAGAATCAAAGTGTGTAGCATTTTCAGACTTATTTCTTTCACTTAGCAATATGCACTTSATTTCTCTGTCTTTTCATAGCTGGAGATCTCATTTCTTTTTATTCTTCCTACTTTTTATAAGAACAGCTTTATTGAGACACAATTCATATAATATACAAATCACCCATTTAATGTGTACATTATATGGTTCTTGGTATATTACATTATTTTAAAATATCATGATAAAAGATATATAATGTAAAGTTTGCCTTTTTAAGTGTACAGTTTGGTGGCATTAAGTATATTCACAGTGTTATGCAACCATCACACCTATTTCCAGAACTTCTTATAGCCTTAAACAGAAACTCTGTAACCTTTAAGCAATAACTCTCCAATCCCATTCTACCAAGCCTCTAATTTACTTTCTGTCCCTAAATTTGCCTCTAGGTACCTCATACAACTAGAATTATACAGTATTTGTTCGTTTTCATATGGTTTATTTCACTTACCAAAATGTCCTCAAAGCTCATTGATGTCGAGGATGTAATGGAATTTTATTCCTTTTGTGGTTGGATAATATTCTATTGTATGTATGTGCCACATTTTAAAACCATGTTCATCTATCGACAAACTCTTGGGTTGTTTCTACTTTTTAGCTATTGTGAATAGTGCCTCAGTGAACACTGGAGTTCAGGTGTAAAAGTTCAAGTCCCTGCTTTCAGTTCTTTTGGGTATATAGTTTAGTAGTGAAATTGCTGGATCATGTGTAATTCAGTGTTTAGCTTTTTGAGGAACAGCTCTCTTTCTATAGTGGCTGTACTATTTAACATTCCTATCAATAACATAAGAGGGCTCCAATTTTTCTATATCCTTGTAAACACTTAACCATTTAAAAATTATCATTCTAGTTATTCTGTTGGGTGTGAAATATTTCACTGTGGTTTTGATTTAAATTTCCTTAAAGAATAATGATGTTGGGGATATTTTCATATCCTTGCTGGCAGTTTATATGTTGTCTTTGGAAATGTCTATTCAAATCTTTTGCTTATTTTAAACAGGTTGTTCTTTTATTAGAGTCTTGAAATTTCTTTATATATTCTAGATACAATATTGTTATTAGGTGATTCCCAAGTATCTTCTGCCATTCTGTAGGTTGGTTTTTTTTTTTTTTTTCACTTTCTTGATATGTCGTCTTGCACAAAAGTTTTAAATTTCAACGATGTCCAATTTTTCTTTGGTTGCTTCTACCTTAGGTATCATCAATAAGAAATCATTGTCAAGTCCAGGGTTATGGAGAGTTATACCTATATTTTCCTTAAGAGTTCTATAGTTTTAATTCTTTCATTTAGTTCTTGAATTCCTTTTCAATTAATTTTCTGGATGATATGAGGTAGAGAGCCAATTTTATTCTTTTGCATGTATTGGTATAACTATTTAGTTATATTGGCATCCTTGTGAAAATTAGCCAGTCATAGATGTTGGGGTTTGTTTCTATTTATCTATCTATCTATCTATCTAT